GCGCTCTACCACTTGAGCCACAGCGCCACTTCCGGCTTTTTTCTTTTTGCTTATGTGGTGCTGAGGAATCGAACCCAGGGCCTCAGGCATGCAAGGCAAGGGCTCTACCACTGAGCCACCTTCCCAGCTCAGGGTAGGTTATTTCTAATTGTGCCTCCCCCCTTGCATCTCCTATTATGGTTGCTTTTCTGGATTTCCTAAAGCAATGAGAGGTGCAACTTCCCGTTTGCTTGCTGGCCACAGGATGAATGAAGGTAAGTTACTGCTGTCAACAGCTGCTCCAATTTGCCTCAGGTAAGGAATTGGTGGCCCGATGATATGAAATGGGAATTGTATTTAGGAGAAAGAATAGAAATTTCTAATTCTCTGCTTAAAGAAAGCTTAGAGTTTTGATGAGGAAAAACAATTGGATGCAGTGTCAGTAGCCTGTGTCGTCAGTTGAGATGGGTGAGAAACTGGGTCAACATATCCATAGACATTCTGCATCTACACTGTCAGATAAGCACGAAGGGTTCGATCAGATCGGCTTCTGTGGGAAGGGTGTCTGATGTAGTGGCACAGGTTAATCGGACACGTGATTCAGAAGGATGGCAAGCGAGAAGTCCCTCTTCTCCCAAAAAGCATTTAAAAGCTCATCTCTTGGTCATAGCCCGAAAGGAAGGCTGGAACATGGAGAGATGAACACCGATACATAGTACTTCAGCTAGAAGCTGACTAGTATACTTGTTTACCAGCACTCATCATCCATTCATTCATTCACTCATTCCTTCTCCAAGACCCGTTGTTGTGGCAGCTGCTGCGGGAGATTAGCTGGTGAACACAATCAATGTGGTCCTTATTCTCCCAAAGCTCTTCATCAGAAGTTTGCAGAACAAATTGGAAGGAAGCTAATTTTCTCACGGAGTCAATAGATTAAAAACATGGTCTACAAATTAACTTTGAACACAGATGAAGAAAACTTTCCATTAGGGTCGTAAAACAGGAAATGGAACCCCAAGGCTTTATGGGAAATCCATGGGAAGGATCCCCAGGATCCTAGAAAAGATCAGACCTGGAGCTGCTCTCCCCTTCACTGCACTGGGCTCTTTGTGGAAAGGACTACGGAGTGTTAGGAGCACCCACCACATAGCCCTTCTTTATGGCTGTTGTGTCCAGGTGTGTGTAATGGAATTCATGAATACCCATCAGCATGGGAGATGTCACGAAGGAACATGTTAGACTCACCTAGGACTTTTAAGGGAGAAAGGCTGCTATCTACTCTACTCATTGCCTAGCTTGTTTATTTTGAAACAGGTTTTAAAAGCCTGAGATTCACTCCGATGCTCACTTTCTATTCCTCATTTGTCAAACAAATCTTTTCAACTATTGCACAAAATCCTAAACTAAACCTTTAAGCCTAAAAGAATCCCCATATGCAATATCTGAACTAGGAGACTCTTCCTAAAACACAGTTAAGATCCTGGTCTTCAGCTTGGGAATAAAAGCACAAATCAATCAACTACTTACTATCTATTAAGGAGGAAAGCAACAAGGAAGGCCTTAGAGTGATAATTATCAGGGCAGGGGATGTAGCTCAGTGGTAGACCACCTGCCTTGAATGTGTAAGGTCCTAGGTTGAGCCCCAACACTACCAAGCAACAACCAAGACAAATAGGAAGCAAATCAGGATTGCCCTGCTATATTTAAACATTTTAATTTATGTCCAGACACTTCAGAGTATGTATGTTATTATCCAATGAGTATATTTATAGATTCAAAAAATTAAGGATCTATTTAAGTCAGTGATAGTAATCATTAGGAAATAACTATGTGAATCAGTCAAAATAAAAATCATTTATTGAAAGGCAGAGTATGAAATAAACCTTAGCTTTATAATCCAGTGTTAGTTTTATTGTTTTCCCAGGCTAAGAGAGAATTGTGAGTTTAAATACAGGACAACTATAATAGGATTTAAGTTAAATTTCTAGTTTGTCTAACTAATACTACAACAAAAAGGACAAGCATTAATGTTTGACAATAGATTAAACGTTATCTTTATTGTAATGTGTGATGATAAAACCAGGGTCTCATATTCACTACAAAGTGGTCTACCACTGAGGTGTATGCTTGGCCCCAGCAGTAGAATTTTAACTGTGCTTTCCATAAACATCCTTAAACATCACCTTCGAGCTGTAGAAATCTTTCATAATCTTTATAAATGTTATAAAGAAAATGACTTCCAAGCTACCTGGGTTATTTTTTAATCTATATGCTACTACTTAGAAGATCAAAGAGGGAATCGATAAAAATTTCTTTTTTTTATTTTGGGTCCGGTTGTGGGGCCTGAACTCTGGGCTTGGGCACTGTCCCTCAGCTCTTCAGCTCAAGGATAGCGCTGTACCACTTGAGCTACAGCGCCACTTCCGGATTTTTTCTTTTTGCTTATGTGGTGCTGAGGAATCGAACCCAGGGCCTCATGCATGCAAGGCAAGCGCTCTACCACTGAGCCACCTTCCCAGCCCCCATCGATAAAAATTTCAAACCAAGCAAACAAAAAATATTGCATAGGCAATATTTGCATAGACAAAGATAGGTGTATGTGAAATCACACACTTGGATCTGTTGTTTTATTTTGTCTTACAATTTTAGTGTCATGAGTCAAGAAGGCCAATTATTTGACTTAGAATTTGTTAGATACTCAATATGTGTTGTAAAAGTCTAACCAATCACTTTTGTATAGAAAGAAAGCCTTTTGTTTACTTACACCGGCAAATTATTCTAAAAAGGAAGGTTATAAATCATCCCTCTCACTGGAAACAGTTTGTGAGCCAGGGGTAAAAGGATAGAGCAAAAACTTGGAAACTCCAGCCCACAAATCAAAATTTTAAGAGCTGTGACATGGGAACATTTCCCTGTGGGTCTTTGGAAAAGCATGAAATTGTTTGAAAACCATCTGAAAGAGTTGGCTCTGTTCTCCTTTCCTTAGGGAGAAGGGCTCAGGCTACATGCGTAGTCAAGACTATCTGTGTGAGTTTCTGTCTCTACTTTACAGATATGGAAACTAAGTCTTAGAAAGTTTAGATATTAACCAATCCTATAACTACTTCATTCAAAGACAGGACTCAAACCTGGGACTGCAGGTTCTAAAATGCCTCCTCTTTCTAGTATCTAAAACCAGAATTTAGGTGTGAAAGGAAAGAGCTATGTGGAGAAGGGAGCAATCTCATCTCCCAGAGGACATGGAGACCCATTCTGACCTTTCTTTCAGCCCACAGATCTATGGGAGCAACACGACAATGGAAACACTGGAATGTACAAATTAGACTGGGCTTACCTACCTTGACTACCAGGTAGATGTCTGGGGACGGGTAGGTGACGGAGAAGACTGCAGATCTTGCTTGGCTCGATGGATCAACTGCAGGTGTATGAGCTCGCAGAAATCCTTTCAGTTGGTCAGAGTTCAGGTCACAGTGAAAATTTTCTGAGATCTGTAAATGAGCAGTAAAGGGAAAAATCAGTTACGCTTGCTGCACTCTTGGGCTAAACATATTCAAACAGTGCAAAAGCAACATCAATATCTCATTGAAGAAATAATTATAACTGTGGACACAGTGTGTGACTCGTGGCTGCTAGAAAGGCTGATATTTTACCATCATTTATACATATTTTGGATCCATTTTAGAGAGATCCCTTGAAACATGTAAGATTTAGGAAGCCATTAGTATTTTCTGAGCTTCAATGATGTTCTAAGTATCGCAATTAGTCTAAAATCAAGAATGAGAGAATAAGGCCAACACATAACTAACTAAAGCAAAATAGAAGTCACCCTGTTCACAGAAAGAACTACTATGGAAGTTCTAGAAGGTGAGAGATCATTGGCATGACTGGGAGAACTTGTGGAAAAGCCACTAGAACCAGGTGATTCTGATCTCACCGGCGATCAGAGGATGGCGTGTGTCAGGACAGGGTACCCAGAGTTCCACTGCACAGGTAGAAAACATAGAGGCTGTAAGACCCAGAGTGAGCGGAGTAGACAGAGCTCTGATAGGGGAAGTGGCCGTAAGCCCTGCATGGATAGTAGCAGTGTGTGCTTAGTAATTGAGGTAGTTATGAGCAGCCACTGAGCATTTTGAGCTAAGGTATGCTATGATGCTTGGCTTTCTAATTTGGCGTGACTTAAAAGCCATTATTGGGGTTTTCCCTTTTCTTTTCTCTTGTCTTCTCATTTTCTTCTTTATCCATCCTTCCATCCTTTCTCTTCATCTCTCTCTTCTTTTCTTCTTCCCTACTTCCCCCCTCTCTTCCTTTCCTCTTCCCTCTCTTCTCTTTCTTCTCTCTCTCTCTTTCTTTTTTCTTTCTCTTCTCTCTTCCTTTCCCTCCCCTCCCCTTCCTTCTGTCTTTCTGTGACAATACTGGATCCTGAACTCAGGATCTGGGCACTATCCCTTAGCTTTTCAGCCCAAGGATGTGCCTTAACACTGAAGCCAAGTGTCAAGCTTTCTTGGTGATTATTTAGAGATAAAGGTCTCATGCACTTTCCTACCCAGGCTGACTTCAAACTTTGATCCTCAGCTCTGACTAGCCAGCATTACAGTTGTAAGCCTGAGTAGATAGGATTACAGATGTGAGCCACTGGTGCCCAGGGCTGTTCCCCTTTCCTAAGAGAGTTTTAATGAGAAGTGGTATTTGCTCAAGAGCATCCTCCCCTAGTTTTGCCATTGTTCTCTCAGAATTTCAAAATGACAGAACCCTCACAGAGAAGTGTTGAGCTGTCAAAGACCACAAATACTAAGGATCCTCTATCAGTCCTTCAAAATCATCATTTTTTTCCAAGGCAATACACCTGGAGCCATCAAAACCATCAAAGATCATTTGCTTTCAAACATAATGTGTTTTTCTGCTGTATATAAGTCAGACTGACAACATGAACCCAGAACGTCATAAACACTGTGTGCCTTCAGGGTAGACTACTTGTTTCCTTACCTTTTTCCTTTCTTTAACATCATACAGGGCAATGCTGGCAAACAGAGGCTCAATTTCAATCTCAAATCTGCCAGAAAGAGAGAGAGCAAAAAAGAGAGATCAATATGGTTTTAGCCTAGATATTTTTGAACTTCCTGAAAGTGTCTGGATATATAAACTAGTTAAAAATATAAGCATTTTCCAGGAATATTTGGACTAACTCCATGCATTTTTGAAAGTCATGTAAGGATATTAATGGAGAAATATGGGAGGATCATACCTAAGCATTTGAGGTCATGGTAGGTGCTACATTTTCCTCAAAAATGTTTGTTGGTGGCAGTGACTGAGAGATTGAATGGACCTTTGACTTGATCCAAGTAGTATCATTTTTTGAAATACTGGGTATTAAAATGAGAACCCTGAGCCAGGCACTGGTGGTTCATGCCTGTAATCCTAGCTACTCAGAAAGCTGAGATCTAAGGACTTCAATTTGAAGCCAGCCTAAGCAGAAAAGTTTGTGAGATTCTTATCTCTAATTAACCACAAAAAGTCAGAAGTGGAACTTTGGCTTAGAGTGGTAGAGTGCTAGCCTTGAGCAAAAAGGCTCAAGGACAGTGCATAGACCCTGTGCTCAAGTTCTATGATCACCAAGAACAATAATAGCCAAGCACCTGTGGCTCCTGTCTGTCATCCTAGCTACTCAGGAGGCTGAGATGTGAAGATCATGGTTCAAAGCCAGCTCAGGCAGAAAAGTCTGTGAGACTCTTATCTCCAATAAACCACCAGAAAACCAGAAGTGGTGCTGTGGCTCAAGTGGTAGAGAACTAGCCTTGAGCTGAAGGACAACACCCAGGCCCAGAGTTCAAGCCCCAGGACTGACAAAACAAAAACAAGCAACAACAACAAAATGAGGACCCTGAAAATGTTAGACAAGTAACTGTTTTACCACTGAGCTTCTGCCCAGCCTGAATACTATTTCTTACCATGGAAACCACCATGCTTTAGAGGACAGACTCTCACTTAGGCAACAGGCTTGCTGATGCTTTACTGCGGAGGTAAGAAGCTCTCTGCTATTAGATGCTAAGGGATGAGACTTTTTTCATATAGTAAAACAAAGAAGCGTGTGATTGTTTTTCCTCAGATCTGTAGTGGGGCAGTCAAAGAGGACTGGGGTGATGATATGGAGGGAAAGTCTGACCCTTCAGAGACAGGGAGGAGACCAGTCACTGAAAACAAACACAGAGAGGCATTGGCCCCATGAAAACTAGTTAAGAGGAGCCCCACGGGGCTACAGACTTCACGGAATGCTAGCGCATTTGCCTAGCACGTGTCAGTCTCTGGGTTCAATCCCCAGCACCAAAGAGACAAATGAAAAGAAGGATAAACCTCTCCTATTTGCCCTAACTGCTGATTCCTCTTAAAACGACGAGCCTGGGGCTGGGAAGGTGGCTCAGTGGCAGAGCGCTTGCCTTGCATGCATATTTGGCCCACATAAGCAGAAAAAGCTGGAAGTGGCGCTGTGGCTCAAGTGGTAGAGCGCTAGCCTTGAGCTGAAGAGCTGAGGGACAGCCTCCAGGCCCACGGTTCAGGCCCCACGACCAGCAAAAAAAAAGATGAGCCTGAAGAATAGATGACCCCAGGCACAATCTCATCCCGTGGGAGAAGAGCATGCGACTGACAGATGAGCAGCTCCCAAGATGCTCAGTTTCACAACTCATCTTCTTGGCCCCTGCCCACTGTGAGCAGCAATGAAGAGACCTGGACCGTCATTACTTACAATCCATGCAAATTAGGCCAAATTGGCAAGGGCACTGCTTCAACAGAGGACGTCTTAGAGGACTATTTGGGCTGAATCCAAGACTCAATGCCCCTTAGTCTGTCCTTATTCTAAGACGCTGCATGGCTAAAGATGTCATTTAAAGATGGGCGCTGGTAGCTCACCCCTGTAATCCTAGCTAGTCAGGAGGCTGAGGTCTGAGGATTGTGGTTCAAAGCCATCCCAGGCAGAAACATCCATGAGACTCATATCCAATAAATGACTCAAAAAGCCCGAAGTGGCACTATGGTTCAAGTGGTAGAGCGCTAGTGCTAGTCTTGTGTATGACGAGGCTCAGGGACAGCGCCCAGACCCTGAGTTCAAGCCCAAGAACTGGAAAAAAAAAAAAGCCATCCAATCAACTAACCCATTTCCCTGGGTTTGTATTTCTATATTGTATATATGCACATATCACATTACGCACACAGATATTTCTGTATCTATCAAGAGACAGATGTAGATATGTATATACACACATACAAAATGCATGCATGTATGAACCCAATGAAACATTCTTTTAAAAGAGGTTATTTTTACACATGCTACAACATGGATAACCATATGAGCATGAATAATATGGAATCCCTTTTCCATGATATACTTAGTATAGTCAAATTCAGAGACAGAATAGGGAGAAGGGTAGACTTTAGTGTTCATGGGATTCCAAGTTTTAACGTGGGAAGGTAAAACATTTCTATAAAGAAATGACAGCGATTGATGCATATCACTGTAGATACACCTAATGCCACCAAACCATAGGTAAAAGAATAACAAGATGGTAGATTTTTACCTTATATACATTTTTTTTTTGTCAGTCATGGGGCTTGAACTTTGGGCTTGGGTGCTGTCCCTGAACTCTTCAGCTCAAGGCGAGCACTCTATCACTTGAGCCATTGTGCCACTTTTCCAGTTTTCTAGTGGTTTATTGGAGATAAGAGTCTCACAGACTTTCCTGCCTGGGCTGGCTTTGAACCATGATCCTC